AAAATGTGATTTGATGTTTAAAAAAACCACACACACAAAACCAATGTGTGTCTGCATATTCGGCAATAACGGAGGAGGTCTGAGCATCCAGCCACCTAATCCCTGCTTGATTACCTGCCTCAAGTAGCCACTCTACACACAAGAGAATCCACTCAGTGTTATAGTGTGTGTGTGTGTGTGTGTGTGTCCTTGTATACTTCTGCGTTCTCCATCTTACAATTACTCTCTTTTGAAGAGCAGCATTAGTGTTTCTGGGGTGAAGATGAGGTAAGGGATGAGCTCATTAATCTGCATGAATGAATACATTACAGCCATTGCTCGGTTCCAATATCCAGGTTTCATTTGAATCTATGCCCAAGTTTCTAAAATATACCTAAATCCCAAATTCTAGATCACATCAGTCGGCGCCATGCTTCGGTTATTTTTAGGGGTGTGTGTGAGTTTGAAAAGGCGTTTCAAAAATGTCTTTATATGAAAAATGGGCCGGTCAAACAGCCATGCAGTACAGGAAAGTGACCTTTCCTGCTAGGTGATGTTTAGATGCCATAAGGGCTGTGAATACCTGAAAACTACATATTCTTTGTGAAAAGACATCATTGGCCAGCTGTTTAAAACCTGCTTATAGAAATTAAGTGGTCAGTAGTGTAATGTAGAAATAGACAGCAATTTTCCCTGTAACAAAGGTTAATGTGGTTCATTTTTAAAAAGAATCCATAGCATACTGCAGAAGCTCAATGATATAAGTGGGGGCCTGTCCTCATAAAGACATCAAAGTAAGAGTGAGGATTTTAAACTGATATCTGTACCCAACCGGAAGCCAGTGCAGGGACTTTAACAAGGGAGTGATATGAGAGAATTTATGACTGTGGGTTAAAAGCCTTGCTGCGGCATTTTGGACCGCTTGAAGGTGATTTAAAGAAGCCTTGATAGATGGGAAACGAGTGCATCATAATAATCTAATCGGGAGGAGATGAAGGCACAAACAAGCATCCCCAGTTCACCTTTGGAGACAATAGTCTTAAGTTTGGTAATATTTCTTAAATGAAAAAAGCAAGAACGGGTCACAGACTTGACTTGAGCATCAAAAAACAGAGATTGATCAAGAATTAACCCAAGACTCTTTACCGCGGATGAGAAAGGACCCAGATGTTGCCTGATTTGGGGCATGATACTCTCTGGAACGAGAATTAAACACCCAGTCTACTCTGCGTTCAGCTGCAGAAAATTGTTTGTCATCCAACCAATAATTTCCTTAAGACAGTCCATTGGAAGTGGATTGGAAGTTGTCCAATTCACAAGGTTTAAAGGAGATGTAAAATGGGATATCGTCTGCATACAGATGGTAGGAAATAATTTTGAAACAGCTAATGATATGGCCTAAAGGCAGATTATGTAATGAAAATTACAGGGGGCTTCAAACCGATCCTTGTGGGACACCGCATGAAATTTCAGCTCCATCTGACTGAAAGTTTCCCACTGAAACCAAAAGTGTTCAATCAGCCATAAATGAGGACAGATCCACATATCCCTACTAAATGATTTAAGCAGTGGATTAAGATCTGATAATCAATGCTATCAAAGGCTGAGCTAAGGTCCAATAGCACAAGGCCTGAGCAATCACCCCTGTCCCCGGCCTGTCCGCGGCCATCAAAAGGTCATTTGTGACTTTAAGGAGAGCTGTTTCTGTGGGGTGTAACTTTCTAAAACCCGGTGGGTCTCTAGCTTGTCTGTAGTGTTGGATCCAGGCTAGGCTTTTTCAGCAGAGGTTGAATAACTCAATGTTTAAAGTACCCGGGGACAGAGCCAGCAGGGAACCATTTATCAAGGTGACCACAGTGGACCCAATGGCGTCAAAAACATTAAGGAACAGAGAAGTAGGTAAGACATCAACTGGACTCGTCGAGGGTTTCAAATGTCTGCAGGAGCCATTTCTTGTACATCGGGTCCAGTGCTACTCTCTACTGCCATGTGGAATAAAGGCTAAAGAAAACGCTGAAAAAATCATTTAAAAATATGACTCACTTCATTAGCCACGTTCTGATTCTCTACAAGATGCAATGCTACTGAAAAATATGTTAATGGAGTTTAGATCTTTACAGGTATTTGGCATTATAATAAATTATATATCCTCAGCCGGAAAAGGGTGGAATGTCCACTCCGGGTCAGGGACGAGTGTAGAAGTTTAAGTATTTCGGGGTCTTGTTCACGGCTGAGGGGAGTGGGTACTGGTCTGTCATAGGGAAAACGGAGCTGAGAGTAAACGGGTATCTACGTCCCCACCCTCACCTATGGTCACGAGCTGTGGGTAGTAACTGAAAGAATGAAATCAAAGATACAAGCAGCAGAAATTAGCTTTCTCCGAAGGGTTGCTAGTCTCTCCTTTGGAGATGGGTTGAGGAGCTCAGCCTTCTGGGAGGTGCTCAGAGTAGAGCCGCTTTTTAAAATATGCTTGTCTGAAACAGGTCTCACTTGTAAATGAGACATTGAGTCTCAATGGGACTACCTGTATAAATAAAGGTTAAATAAAAATAAATAAAATAATCCTCGACATGGAAAAGGAGCCAGTTGAGTTGGTTGAGGCATCTGACAAGGATGCCTCCTGGGCGCCTCCTGGGTGAGGTGTTCCAGGCATGTCCCACTGGGAGAAAGGCCTGGGGAAGACCCAGGAGACGCTGGAGAGATTATGTCTCTCGACAAGCTGGAGGAGGTGGCTGGGTAGAGGGAGGTTTGGGCTTCTCTGCTTAGGCTGCTGCCCCCGCGACCCAGCCAGGATGAGTGGAAGAAAATGGATGGAT